CAGTGAGGGGCAGAGGAGGGCAGTGAGGGGCAGAGGAGGGCAGTGAGGGACAGAGGAGGGCAGTGAGGGGCAGAGGAGGGCAGTGAGGGGCAGAAGAGGGCAGTGAGGGGCAGAGGGAGATGCTGAGGGGAGCGCTGAGGGGCTGGGACCAGCGGTGAAGGATGACGAGGTCTGAGGTCACTTAGGGGTTGCGGCGAGGGCGGAGCGGGCACTGAGGGTCAGCAGTGGGCTCTGAGGAGCTCAGGGCAGTACCGGGGGGCAGCGGCGGGCACTGAGGGGCCGCGGCGGGGGCGGAGAGGGCGCGCCCGCAGCCCCGGCGGCCGCGCATGTACCGCGCGGTGATTGCCCGGCGAGAGCGGCGGGGCGGGCCCGGCCGCCTCCCGCCTCCCTGTCTCCCTCCCTCCGTCCGCCCCTCCCGCCGCTCCCCCGCCGCCGCAGCCTCGCCTGCCGGCCTCCCTGATGCCGAGGGATGGATAGAGCGGCTGCCCTGCGAGCCGCCGGCATGCTGGAGAGGAAGGAGCGGAGCGGCGGCGAGGCGGCGGGGCCGCGGGGCTTGCCGGCCGTGCGGAGCACGCTGCAGCAGTGCGGGCTGCTGCAGGACCTCATCGACATCTCGCTCTCCAACCTGCGCGGGCTCCGCACCAAGTGTGCCGCGTCCAACGACCTCACGCAGCAGGAGATCCGCACGCTGGAGGTACGGGGCGGGCGGGCGGAGCGGGACCGCGCTGCCGCCCTGCCCCGCACGGCCGGGGCCGAGGCCGGGCCTGCCCCTCCCGCCGCCCTGTCCCCGCAGCGCCGGGGCCGCGCCCGCGCCTTCCCCCGCGGGCCGGGGCTGTCGGCGGCAGGGAGGGAGGGAGGGAGGGAGGGAGAGCGGGACGCCCCCGCAGCCCCGTCCGCAGGTCGGTGCTGCCGGCCCGGCGCGGGGCCCCGGGCGGGAGGCGCGGGCGGAGCGCGGTGCGGGCGGAGCGCGGACAGGTGCGGGGACAGCGCCCGCGGCTGCCCCGCGCACGGGCGGGTTCGCGGGGCCTGCGCTGGATCCCGTGTTACTGCGGAGCGGGATGCCCTGGTGGCTCCAGCCGCCCTGGCAGGAGGTGCGTGCCCACAGCGCTGTCCTGGGAAGCTGTGCAGACTCCCCTTTCCCTCAGGTCCTTGGTGTCTGCTCCTGATGGTTCCTGCCCTCTGCTCCAGGCCTGTCTTTCTGTCCCTGGCTCAGTTTCACTGATCTAATCTGATCCTCCTTTTCCCTCCGTCGGTGTGGCTCAGACAGCATCACAGACCAGGCTGGAGAGACGTTGTGCTGTTTAGAAATACTACACAAAACTCTTCATGCACAAAACGTGTGCTGTTGTGATGCTCTCAGAGAAGAGCTGGATCTGTACATAAGTCTGCATAAGAAAAGGAGTACAGATTTATTTTTCCTTAGTTCATTTGACCTTTAGATACTTAAAGGATGTTTCCTTTTACCTTCCGTGCAGGTAGTATTGCTCTAAGTAAACAATCCCCTCCTGTCCCTTTCTGTGATTCAAGTTTGGTGTGAAGGCTAATGCTCCTTTGCTGTACCTGGTGGCAGAGGCTGTGGAGCCGGATAGAGTATTGGGCCTTTAGGAAGACAGATCATCACAACACTGTAATTGTAACAAACCTACATGCTGCAAAATCCATCACATGAGAAATGAAGGTTGGGAAAAAACTGTGAAACAATAGGTGGTAGATAGCTTTTGGCACAATCTCATGGAAATCTATCATTCTTCCTTTTTTCTTCCTCTGCCCTTTTTTGTGTGTTTTTGTTTGTTTGGTTTGTTTTGTAGGATGTTTTGGTTTGGCTTGTTCTCTTTTTTACCCAAATTTACAGCTCTCTTCTTCCCCTTGTCACCTCCAAATAGCATTCCAAGGGCTATTCTTTCTGAAATAATATTTGTAGAGTCTTTTGGCAGCCCTACTCCCAGCCTTTTTAATGCCCAAACAATATCAATCAGCATCATTTTGGAAAATGATCATCACTGTTTTGATAGTGGACCTGTCCTAAAAGGAAACCTTTATTTGCAAATGATAAAAGCCTTCAGGTTCTTCTTAAAGCAACAAAAGCTGTTTCTAGCAATAGTTGTTGTGTGCACTCAGTCCTCTTCAGCATTTATCTGGTTAAACAAATGGGTGCCACATTCACTGATAATCATAGAATTTATGATCAGAAAAAAATCTTGGCTGAAAAAAATCTCTTTGATGCACAGTCCACTGTGTGATTTCTCTGGGAGTTTAACCAAGTGCTGGATCTCTGCCCACGTGTGGAGCCATGGGCACAGGCACAGACTCTGTGCCCTTTGTGCTGTTGGGTTGCCTGCACCAAGACACACGTCAGGCATAGCCCGAGCTGTGGCTGACTCCCTGTCCCAGGACCTGACTGCAGAGCTGAGAGTCTGTGTTTGCTGCCCCAAGCTGTCCTTCCTCATGGAGCTCCCGAGGGGGGGTGGGCCCAGTGCTGTCCCAGGTACCAGGTGGAACTCCCGTGCCTTGGCTCAGTGTCAGCAGTGCCGGTGTGGCCACATGTGCTGTTGGATCATGTCCATTGCCTGTTGGATCGTGTCAGCAGAGACCCCCTGTTCCTGCCCAGAGCAGGGGTGCTGCTGGTTTGACTGTGGGCAGCTCCTCAGGAGTCCATCGCTGAGCCAGCACCTGGGAGCTCGGGGATCTCCAGGGCCTGCTGTGCTGCCCTGGTGGCCTTGCCGAGTCACCAAATGGCTCTGTGGGCCGTGGTTAGTGGTGCTGGTGGTGCAGCTGCTGGGCCTGCGAGCCACATCTGCACTGTGGGTCTGAATCCTCATGGGGCTTCTCTTCTGTGCAGAAACTTTTTCATGGAGAAAGAAGGATGAAAAATTACTTGCATCAGTAGAACTGTTAAACAGAAGCCACAAAGAAATTATAAAACTTAAGATAGGTAAAAGCAGCAGACTGGAAGGAGAAAGCAGTAGTTTGGGAAGGGAGGAGATTTGATTTTGGAAGTTGAAGAAGTAGTTCCTGAGGTTGAATTCAAGGCTGCACTGTGTGATTTGAAGACCGTACTAAGTCAAAAATCAGTGTCTTGATTTCACTTGTTATTGTTCAAAGAGCTAAAAAGGCAGGGAAGTTTCTGCAATGCGATTTGTACATAGCTCATACATCTCTGGAAGTTGTGTAATGTCTAGTTTTGGTGTCAAAACCACAAAAGTAACAGGTGAAGGGATATCTGCCAGAGCACAACCTGGTGTATGTGAGCTCAGGCACTCGCAGCACCGTGCGGGGGGTGGGTGCTGTCAGGTGGACATGGCTGTCTGTACTGCTGCAGGTCAGACAGCAGTGCATGCTCATGGCCAGTGCTGATCCCAGGGTTAGCACAGCCCTGCAGTGAAGTTCTGAAGGTAGCTGTGATGGGAGGGGAATGCTCAGCCCGCCACGCTAGTGCAGATTCATCGAGATGCTTGTGCTGTTGTCTGCACTGCACACATGAGCTGGGTCCGTTTGGTACCGCTGCCCTCCGTGCCTGCTCCCAGCTCAGGTGGCTGTCACTGACACCACGTGATGCACTGTGTGTGTCACCCAGTGGAGAACACCAGCCTGACCCAGGCGACTTGAGCGCATGCTTGGGTCCCTCCCAGTTTACTGAAGTGCTCTGAGTCCTTCCTCATTCCTCTTGTCTGTAAGGTCTTCTCAAAATAAAGCACATGGTAGATAAGGATTTCTGGGGCCTTGGCAGGTACAGATAAGCATCACGGTGGCTCAGATGAGTGCAGGGAGAACTTTCTATGATATGGGGAGGAGTGGAAAGAAAGGACTGTGGGAATTGCTTGCAGAGAATATGTTGAGTGCAGATGTGTTATGTGAGCTGGCCCTGTTTCACATGTATGAAGGCTGTTTCTTAGAAGGGCAGGGAGTTTCCCTGTAGTGGAAAATAGGTTCTGTTAGTTTGGTTATTAGCAGACTGGGTTCTCTGATGCCACAGGGACTGGTGATTTTTTTAAAGTTTTCTGTGTTCTGCCCAGTAAGTGCTGGGGTGTTTTTCTTTCTACCCAGTGCTGGTCTGTGCTTTCAGTTCTGTCCTAGCAGGTTTACTCACTTCTGAAGTTGACTACAAAACTGAAATGGAAAATCATGGTCATTTTAACCCATACGTAAGAGAGCAAGAAATGTCTTGCCATGGGTGAGCATCCAGTGTTGTTCCAAGCATCCTTGGAAAGAAATAGCTCTGTCAGCTTTTACCTTTGTCCCTACACTAATCCCTTGCGTGACTCTTAAATTGGTTTCACAATGTTAGAAGCATATTATTTTTAGCTTTTTTTTTTTTTTTTTTTTTTTTTTTTTTTTTTTTTTTTTTTTTTTTTTTTTTTTTTTTCTT